CCCCTTCTTAATTCTCTCTTTAAATCCCTTCCCAATCACAACAGAAAGAGAGAGAGAGAGAGAGAGAGAGAGAGAGAGAGAGAGAGAGAGAGAGAGAGAGAGAGAGAGAGAGAGAGAGAGAGAGAGAGAGAGAGAGAGAGAGAGAGAGAGAGAGAGAGAGAGAGAGAGAGAGAGAGAGAGAGAGAGAGAGAGAGAGAGAGAGAGAGAGAGAGAGAGAGAGAGAGAGAGAGAGAGAGAGAGAGAGAGAGAGAGAGAGAGAGAGAATCCGCCAGCCTCGAACTCGCCTGCGGAAGAAGTCGCCAGCCTCGAACTCGCCTGGACTCGCGTTCGCCTGCCACGAGAGTTCCGCCTGTAGAACCCTTGCTCGCCTGCAACTCTGGATCTCGAGCTCGCCTGCCATGGATTCGCCTGAAACCGTTGATCTCGAACTCGCCTCTGATCCACCTCGACATCGAGCTCGCCTGCGGAGGTTTGAGTCTATACCGACACTAACAAAAAGCTGTTGGGGTTCGCTATTCTTCTCTCTATTAATCATTCCTCTCTCTCCAATATTGTATATTAATTTTTGACGGAAATTCCTAGCTTTGAAGGAGAATTTCAGACAGGATTTTTTTGCTGAGATTGACAACACTTTCCACCATTTTCATATAATTCACATTCTTTGCAAACGAACAACAAAAAGATGCTGGTGGAAAGAAGTTCTGACAGAAGTCCATATTCTTCTGCATTTCCGTGGATATCTAGCCAAACCCATATAATTCGAATTACAACATGCAGACCAAAGAAAGAAACGTTCGTACTTTGAACTAAACCTGTGTTCAGTAGTACATTAAAACTGTGCCACAATACATTTTGGAGGAAATGAGAAATTTTCAAGAAAACTTCTATGGAGGGAAACAACCTCGTGAATGGGTTCTTCCAGCAAAAAGAGACCATCGCATCACACACTTTGGAAACAAGTAAATAAATTTACTGGATACTACATGGAGGTAGGGTAAAATTTAAGTTTGGACTTTGATCGATATTCAGATTCAATGAGTATATTAGCCCAGTCATAACAGAGAGGCCTTGGATGGTGAGAAATGCACAGAGATTATCACCGACCAATGAAGCTGTGACAGACAAATTTTTGTATTCACAGTAGATGGTAAATGCTCAACGGAACACTCCTTAAAAATAAAAAAAAATAAAAATAAAAAAACTTAGGGAAAGGAAACTTATTCAACGAAAGAAAGATTTAACTCAATGAGCCTCTTAGTTTACCTGGAAGTCCTCAACAAGGAAAATTCAGACTAAACCGAAACCAGCAAATTCATGCCGCAGATTGATACACAATCTATGCTTTCTGGAGTGATACACGAAGCCTACACCACCTGTTCTTGTTCTTAAATTGCATTTTTTGCAAAAGAAACCTAGCGCCAGATGGCTGCATCAAGTTCAAACTATGATAAAAAGGAGGCATGAGGCTTGAAGTACTCATAATGAATATGCTAACTATTTGCATTTCCATCGCACATTATATTGTGGAGGGATGACTTTCTTCTTAAAACATGAGACATAAGCCAAAATCAAAAGAGTAACGATCACTTTTATGCTTCAATTTGAATTTTTAAATAAATCTTCCTACCAATGCACTATAGCATTTGATAGAACAGTATTGTGCAACAATTCTAATAGAGTTGCCACAGTGTCAAATTCCTGACACCAGAAAATAGTCAGCAAAAGTTAAAGGGTGGCCACTTCTTCAATCTCTTGATAACAGAAGACAGTCAACAAAATTTGCAGAAACCAAAGTCAGCATTTTTTTTTTTGAGCATAAATGGCAGGGGAAAAAATACTGCTTCGTTGATTATTCCAAGTATTTTCCAAACTGGTCTTTATCTTTACCTTCAGCATATTCGATTATGACAAAACTAGTTTCATTCCTTTCAGACTATATAAGATTCATATTCTTGGAACAACTATCCCTGAATTAATCCTGTAGGCATCTAGTTTTCCTTTCATGAAACCTCATCGAATACATAAATCAGCACATGCTCTTCATTTAGCCAATTATGTCTGATGCAAAGCGTTTCACTTATTATTATCTTGTCACTGTGCACTCTCTTTCAAAGTGTTAGGTCATCTCTGATTGCAAGCAAGCATATGCCTACCGTTCATTGCAAGCAAGAATAAGCTCTCATTTTCAAAGTCTTCACACTCCGGCATCTATTAAAGTGTAGATTTGAATTATTAGATTTGAGATAGATGGTCAAAACATGATTTCAGGCTTACTGGACTATGATTCTAATTGACATTTTAATCTTTATGAGGATCACTATATTACAGCAGAACTGTACAGTCTTATTGAGCATGAACTTGAAGATCTAAGAAATAAAGTTACACTTTCACATAAAACAATCACCACAAGCAGTGTGAGCATGATGAAAATTTAATGTTGTTCATAACATATCAAACATTTGGCAACCTATAGAAAGTCAGTCTGCTAGCTGAACAAGAGTCTCACTATCATACTCCCCCCATATTAAGATGGAAATTATTATTGCCTTCTATTATATAATGTTACTCAACATGTCCAACAGAAAAAGAATCAATGAAATCGAAAACTGATAGATAGCAATTTCATCATAAAGAGATGCAGAGCATGCTCGCCATCACTCATGTTAACAGAACGTAACGCAATAAATGTAATTCCGGGTCATCGGACCAGCATCCCAACCATGATTCCGCATTGCAAACTAATTATTTTGCCTAATATAAATATGAAGTCATATAAGCATGCTAAGCAATGTATTTGATAAGTATTTCTAAAGATGATCCCTAGTAATAAGATCTAGATCAAGAGAATACAAATCGACAACCTAGCATAAATGGCAGACCAGTTGGGAATGGAACTAGTTTTGTCATAATCGAATACGCTGAGGGTAAAGATGAAGACCAGTTTGGAAAATACTAGGAATAATGTATTTCATGTCCGAAGCATTAAGTAAAGAAAAAGGGTTACAGCAACCCTTAATGAATTCTCTTTACCAAATCCAACTTTAATCTTGTAGAAGCACAAAGTATTAGAATTCACGGGCATACAATAGTTATTTCTTATCAACCTAAAACGAAATTTAACAACCAAAACATAGAATATTAATTCTCCCTGAAATTTATCAACTTTAAATGGATCTATCTAATGAGACTCAAAGAAGAAAAACTGATAAACAATCAACACCTAGAAGCAAAAACAGAGAACTAGAAAAAGGAAAGACTCGTTTTTTATTTCCTAATCAAAATTCGTTCGCCGGTTTTCTAATCAAAAATTGATCAGAAAGGACACATCACATCATGGATCGCTAAAAAAATTTCAGACGACAGGCAAGAAAGCCGTCACAGTGACGCATTTCAAATTTCATATACTTTCTTTACAGAATTCACGATCAATTTCACATCATAACAAGCACGACAAAATCGACAAAAAGACTCCACGCAAACCCTAGAACCAAGAAACCAGCTTCCGAGAACATAGAAGACGATGATAGCGAATATTTACCCAAAGCAAAAAACCCATCTTCCCGTCGATCCAGAGCCTTATTATATCCGATCCGATCTAGGATTGGTGAGGTGGGGCCCACGCGGTGTCGAGCTTGGGCGGGTCCTCCATGGTGGCGTAGTTATTCTCAGCCCGGGTGAGCATAAGGGGGCGGTCCTTCGCCTCCTCCTCGAGGTCGTCGTCGTCGACGTCGGTGGTGCTGAGGTTGATGCAGGCGCAGCGCTCCAGC